CTGTGACGGCACCGACCCCTGCTTCTGCTCCTGTGGCTCCGCCTCTGCCCTCTCCTGCTGCGACTGCAGCTGCACCCGCTGCTGCGAGCGGGACTCCTACGCTACCCTCTCCTGCTGAGGTCGTGACTCCTCCTGTACTCTCTCCCGTGGGGCCTGTAACTGCACCTGCTGCTGTGGGTGGGACTCCTGCTCTACCCTCTCCTGGTGCGGCCGTGACTCCTCCTCTACCCTCTCGTGCTGCTGCTGTGACTCCTCCTCTACTCTCTCCTACTGCTGTAGCTGCTGCTGCTGCTGCTGCTGCTGCTGCTCCTGCTGCTGCTGCTGCTGCTGCTGCTGCTGCTGCTGCTGCTGCTGCTGCTGCTGCTGCTGCTGCTCCTGCTGCCGCTGCTGGTGCTGCTGCTGCTGTGCCCTCTCAAACCGCACACGCTCCTCTCTCTCCAACCGGAGGAGACGCTGCTCACGGGTCAGGAAACGTACAGTGCGAGGTGTAGGCGCCACAGTGCCAGTGCCTCCAGCTCCAGCAACACCAGAACCAGCACCTCCACTAGCGACACCTCCGGGGCCTCCAGTACCTCCCGTAGGAGCACCCCCAAGCTCCGCAGCAACCGGCCGCAGAGGAGAACGAGGAGGGAACTACGGGACGACCGGGAAGCCTGGGGGTGACGAGGGGCGAGGCCGCCGACTCGAGGCTGCCGTGTCCTCCACAGGAGTGACCTCCACGCCCACACCCACTGCACCCCCTGAACCGACACCACGAGCTCCTGCAGCCCCAGCACCCTCACCCTCCGCAACTGCACCTCCCGCACTCCCAGACACGACAGGGACTGGACGATGCGGGGAGGACGACTGCGGAGTGACGTGCGACACACCTGACGGGGCAGGACGCGAAGCGGGGGGAGCTACCAGGGCGACAGGGGGGGGCTCAAGGGTGAGGAACAGCGGGGGGGAAAAGACCTCAGTACCTCGGTGGGGGCGACTCCTGTAGTAACAGACAGACTCGTCGAACGTGACGTCCTGAGAAGCGAAGAACCCGCAGGTGACCGGGTCGTAGAACACCCAGCCGGAGGCGTCCAAGGGAAGCCAAGAAACACGCAGGCACGAGTGCGCGGAGACAACTTGTTCGCGCCAGGGGCGCGAACGTGGGCCAGACAACCCCAGACGCGGAAGTTAGCTGCTACCAGGGCTGACGATTCAAGGGCATTTGCCCTTAATGCCCTGAACATTCCGGGCGAACTCCAGGCCAGCTTCGGCATTTCGAAGGGCTGGTTTCGAGGGGAGCCCGTTTTTCTTACTGGCTGATTTTGAGAAATTGGGGTATCAACCCGGATCCGTTAAGGGCTGGTTTGGGGCCCTTCCCTGAAATCCCGGATCAGGAGTACAAGCAACCCTGCGTTTTCCTAAGTTGCCACTCTTCTCCTCCCGTACTCATTATCCCTGAAGCTCCCACATTCTATCTAGTTTGGTATGATAGGACTTTCTAGTGTTGATGTTTATGGCTGTGGTTGCAAAATATTTCTAAGACAGTCTTCACTCCTCACAGTTCTTAAGTACCCACGCTGGACTCGAGACACTGACACCCTTACGTGGCGAAGAGGGACTCAGCCCCATCGGTTCACACTAATAGTACTACATGAGAACGAACCTCCTCGGAAGTGCTTTGCGAATGTACACAAGAATTCAAACGACTTCTTTGCTGACGATGTTTTGCCCTACGAGACCCCTCCTCCCCTCCCCCACCCCTCTTCCCCCACCCCCTGCCGTAGGTTTGCAGATGGGTTGTTAGCAAGCTCCTTCCCGCTGCTAAGAAATATTTGACATCCGCCATTGTGAGATTTAGGGCAAACGTACATTTTTTTAAGAAGCCCGGATTTCAAGTTTTGAATTTGACCTGCACCCGTGATCGTTAAGGGCTAAAATCCGGTCACCATCGCGAAAATCAGGGCCAAACTTCGAGCAGCTCAGGACTCAAAGTGTTGGCCCCAGGGACTTCGACAGGCCTGGCTGCTACGCCCTATAAACCTGACCAGAGAGAGACCGGCGTCACCCGTGGCCGTGCGTCACTGGGCCACAGGTTCAGCTGGTGTGCGGCGTAGCGGACTGCCTGAGGCCACAAGAACTGAGGGGCACCGGCATGGCACATGGAGGTCCGGGCAACCTCCATGACCAGGCCGATGCGACGCTCTGCTACCCCGTTCTGCTGCGGTGAGGCTGGTAGCGTGTACGACTGAATGACTCCCCGACCCTGACAGAACGTCTCTAGGCGAGTGGAAGAGAACTCACCACCACGGTCCGAGTGTAGGCGAAGCCCACACAGGCCCTGGGCGCCACCCCACGCTAGCAACCACGGCTCGAGGACGGTAGGCACGTCGGCCTTCCGTCGCAAGGGGAAAACCGTGGTGTAGCGGGAATAGTCGTCCACCACAATCAGGAAGTAGCGTTCCTGACGTGGGCCAAGGACAGGGGAGGGGCCCCAAACGTCCAAGTGCAGGGTCTGGAAGGGAGCCGTGGTAGGGGGGAACGAGGTTGAGTGAGGGGCGGCGCGCTGCCGACCCTCGACGCAAGGAGTGCACGGCGGCGCAGGCGAGCGAGGAAGCGGGGCAAGCGACGCTGAGAGACCTGAGACCAGACGGTGACGTACCATCCTACTAAGACGTGGGAACGACGGGTGACCTAGACAGTGGTGCCAGAGGACTGACGGGTGGGCGAGTGACCGACAGTCGCACGTCACAGCAGCTACCTGACCTGACCTGACCTGACCCGACTCAGTGTGGTGGGACCCAGAGTGTAGTGAGTACAGACCAGATCCCGGCTCTCTGTGAAAAGTGGCCAGAGGCGCCCCAGTGGCACCGTCAGTGCAGGAGGCAACAGGCTCGTCCAGTAGGAAAGTAGTGACTACACCTAGGTCGTGGAGGTGACTGACACCCACCAGGTTCCTAGAGAACGAGGGGGTGTAGTAACCTGTAAGAAAACCTGAGGGAGCCGCCGGACACGGAAGAGTGGTGGTGCTGCGAGCAACTACACGTCCCACAGAGGGGTCAGCCAAGGCGACAGTGACTGGAGTGCGCAGTGGTGTGAGGTCAGTACAGTCGCGAAAGAAACAGCTCGACGCTCCAGAGTCTAGGGTGAAGGAAAATTGTGCAGTCTGTGGGGTTGCACCCGAACCAGCTACAAAGGCTAGTGCTAGACTAGTGGTAGCTGCAGCTCCTACACAAAGACCCTCAGAGGCGCCTGGACTGGAAACAACACACGCACCAAGACTGGAAACACAGGTCTCTACTTGTGCAGCCGGAAAAGGTCCTAGATCAGGTAGGTGAGACTCAACTGGTGCAGTAGTGGGCTGGCGAAGGCGCGAAGGCCAGTGCGGTGTAATAGCGTGAGGACCAAAAGGCTCACGGTGGAGGTCGTCGAGTCGACGGTAGCAGCTGGACGCAGTGTGGTCAGGACTCCAGCAGGTAGTACCAGCACCAGGGCCTGTCAGGGCCGGGTACCCGCACGGGCCGACGTCTCGCCCACTGCTAGCTGAGCCAGTGCTGGGGGCGCCACACTTTGGACCAGCAGGCCCCCACTGACGGGAGTGCTGTGGCTGGCCCTGCTGTTGTAGAACCCTAGTACACGCCATGAGAGCGTATGCTACTGCTGGTTCTGCTGGGGGCAGCCTAAGCTGCTGCTGGTGCGCTGGGGGCAGCCTGTGCTGCTGCTGGTGCGCTGGCGGTAGCCTAAGCTGCTGCTGGTGCGCTGGGGGCAGCCTATGCTGCTGCTGGTTCGCTGGGGGCAGCCTATGCTGCTGCTGGTGCACTGGCGGCAGCCTATGCTGCTTCTGGTTCTGCTGGGGGCAGCCTACGCTGCCTCTGGTGCGCTGGGGGCAGCCTGTGCTGCTGCTGGTGCGCTGGCGGTAGCCTAAGCTGCTGCTGGTGCGCTGGGGGCAGCCTATGCTGCTACTGGTTCGCTGGGGGCAGCCTATGCTGCTTCTGGTTCTGCTGGGGGCAGCCTACGCTGCTGCTGGCGCGCTGGGGGAAGCCTATGCTGCTGCTGGTGCTGCTGGCGGCAGTGTAATCGGCTGGGGCTATTGGCGGCGGGTGTGGCAGCTCGTGGGGAGGCGGGTTTCAGGTGGGGAAGCTGTTAAGGCAGCAGGCTACGGGTGGGGAAGGTGAGGCGGCGCGGTTCTGTGCGGTTATGTGCAGTTCTGTGCGGTTCTGTGCGGTTCAATGCGGTGGAGAGGACTGGGTGGGGCGGCTGATCCTGGGTGAGGTTCCTGGAACGGGTGGGGCAGCAGGTTTCCAGGTGGGGCGGCGGTTGTCAGGTCTGTGGCGGCGGTTTTCAGGTGGGGAAGCTGTTAAGGCGGCGGTTCTGTGCGGTTCTGTGCAGTTATGTGCAGTTCTGTGCGGTTCTGTGCGGTTCAATGCAGTGGAGAGGACTGGGTCGGGCGACTGATCCCGGGTGAGGTGCCTGGAACGGGTGGGGCAGCAGGTTTCCAGGTGGGGCGGCGGTTGTCAGGTCTGGGGCGGCGGTTTTCAGGTCTGGGGCGGCGGGTTTCCAGGTTCGGCGGGGGATTTCAGGTCTGTATTGGCGGGTTTTCAGGTCTGGGGGCCGGTTAAGACGGTGGGCTGCACGTGCCCGCGGCTACGACGTACTAGCGTGGAGCTGCGGGTGTCAAAGTTATATTTAAGATATATCTTGCTTGCTGTAGTTACTATAGTTATTGTTCTATGCTGTTGGTGGTGCACCTCTTGTTTGTGTTTCTCGACTATATCTTGTATGCTTTGCTTTAGTGAAGCTAACTTGTTTGGTCAATTTCTCTCGACACTCCCTTGGCCTTGACCTCGACACTTGCTTGGCCTAGGCTACTAAGCCTAGGCCCTCCTTAAACCCGGTTCCTAGTTAGCTTAGTATTTTGACATGGTATCAGAGCTAGGTCCGATTAGGACCGTTTTCAAATGGGCCCACCATTAGCGCTCGCAATGGCGCGCCCCTTAGTGCGCCTCGTGAGCGCTTTCCCGTTTTCAGCCCGTCGCCCGCGCACTACCAGCAACGCACGCCACCGCGCACGCCAGGAACGCACCAGGAACGCCAGGATCGGACCCGCCAGCAAGCACGCCGAAGGACCCACCAGCAAACCCGCCGACGGACCCGCCGTCAGTTCCGCCAACGAGAGCGCCAGCAAGCCCGCCGACGGACCCGCCAGCAAACCCGCCGACGGACCCGCCGTCGGACCCGCCAACGAGAGCGCCACCAAGCCCGCTGATGGACCCGCCAGCAAACCCGCCGACGGACCCGCCGTTGGACCCGCCAACGAGAGCGCCAGCAAGCCCACCGACGAACCCGCCAACGGGCCCGCGAGCGAGCCCGCCAATGGACCCGCCGCCGTCACGCTGCCTCGTCGCGGCTCCGTGGTGCAGAAACAGCGACGGGCGCAGTGGGGGCGAAGAGGAAAGGGGGAACGGAGTGGCGGCCGCCAGCGCCAGCATCCGCCAGTCACACCTCTTCCCCGCCCGCCCTCCCATCGACTTCGCAGCTGCTGTGAAGGGAGTGGCGGAAGTGGCGGGGGTGTTGGGAGCGGCGGGAGAAGTTGCTTCTACACCGCTAGACGCGCCAGATCGCTCCCTACCCGCCCCTTGAACCCCATCGAACCCCGTGGCACCACCAGTGGACCCCACTACCCCGCCCGTTCCAGTCCCCCGTCCCCCCCAGCGCACCACACCTGCCATCGAACCAGTACCAGCACCAGCGCCAGCACCAGGAACCAGTACCAGCACCTGCGCCAGCACCAGGAACCAGTACCAGCACCAGCGCCAGCACCAGGAACCAGTACCAGCACCAGGAACCAGTACCAGCACCAGCCGCCAGCACCAGGCACCAGTACCAGCACCAGCCGCCAGCACCAGGCACCAGTACCAGCGCCAGGCACCAGGCTTCGGCACCAGGCACCAGCACCAGGGCCAGCCGCCAGCACCAGCACCAGCTCCAGGGCCAGCCGCCAGCACCAGCACCAGCTCCAGGGCCAGCCGCCAGCACCAGCACCAGCTCCAGGGCTAGCTGCCAGCACCAGCACCAGCACCAGGGCCAGCCGCCAGCACCAGCACCAGCACCAGGGCCAGCCGCCAGCACCAGCACCAGCTCCAGGGCCAGCCGCCAGCACCAGCACCAGCTCCAGGGCCAGCCGCCAGCAGAGAACCCCGCCAGCAGAGAACCCCACCAGCAGAGAACCCCGCCAGCAGAGAACCCCGCCAGCAGAGAACCCCGCCAGCAGAGAACCCCGCCAGCAGAGAACCCCGCCAGCAGAGAACCCTGCCAGCAGAGAACCCCGCCAGCAGAGCACCACCCTCTGCCCTGCCTCTCCCCTCCCGCGGCTGCTACTGTGGGGGGTAGGTGGCGGGAGCGGGGGGGTGGGAGGGCTGGCTGCAGTGTGAAGGACAGGGCAGAGACAACTGTGGGTTGGGCAGGGGTGTGGAGGAAGGAAGAGAGGGAGGGGGTGCGGTTCCAGGGGGTGGCTGAAATGGGGGGTGAGGTTGAAGGAGGGTGGTTGATTGGGGGTGGGGATGTGGGGGTTAGTAAGAGGGGACGCTGCGGCCACCCCCCCACCTCCTCTCCTCATCCCCCACTCAACCCCCCTTTCGTAAAAGGGGGTTAGTAAGAGGGGACGCCGCGGCCACCCCCCCACCTCCTCTCCTCATCCCTCACTCACCTCCCCCTGTGTTCTCATCTCCTCTCCTCTCCTCTCTCCCTCTCGCCGCCTCCCCTCACGTACCCCTCTGCCGTCTCCCACTGCGCCAGCTATACCCCTTCAGGGGGTGTTGACTACTCTAGTTCCTACTGCAAGCAGGCTAAGGGGGTGTCAAAGTTATATTTAAGATATATCCTGCTTGCTGTAGTTACTATAGTTATTGTTCTTTGCTGTTGGTGGTGCACCTCTTGTTTGTGTTTCTCGACTATATCTTCTATGCTTTGCTTTAGTGAAGTTAACTTGTTTGGTCAATTTCTCTCGACACTCCCTTGGCCTTGACCTCGCCACTTGCTTGGCCTAGGCTACTAAGCCTAGGCCCTCCTTAAACCCGGTTCCTAGTTAGCTTAGTATTTTGACTTAGTATTTTGACAGCGGGTGCGACTAAGGCTGCGCGCGCAGCTACGCGCGTTCGTCTACTGTGCGCTAGAGGGCTGGGGGGCAACACGCGGGGTAAAATGAGTAGGGTGCGGGGCAGAAAACCGCTGACGCGCGATGGCAACGGGGGGGCGCGGCCTACTCGGGCTCTACGGGGCAGGGCGCTTCGGGCTACGGGTCGCTACGAGGCGCGCGGGTGGTGGGCCCATAAACTATCGAGAGAAATTTCGCCTAGGGGAAAAATCGCCTAGGGGAAAAATCGCCTAGGGGAAACCTAGCTCTATACCATGTTACGATAAGAATGAATTGATAGAAAAATGTGAAGTACAACCCTAGATATAGCAAACCCTAATCATGCAAGGAAGTAGAAATGTAACACCTAGACTAACCTAAACAACACATATAAAATATATGTTGACAGCTTTTGCGAGGTCGACCTCGAGGGTGGTATCCCGAGGTCGACGTGGCTGGTAGGTGCAATCGCTGGTGTGGAGTCGAGCTGGGCGTCTGCGCTGTGCTCGTGACACCAACCAGCTGCGCGCACCTGCGAAGCAGGTGCACCGTTGTCCTGCGGGTGCAACGCTGTGCAGCCGATTTGCTGCAGCGTTGGCACACCGTGGACTTGCAATGTTGGCAAGCCGCGACTCTGCTCTGCTGGAACGCGGTCGACCAAGCCGTGCTGGCACGTGGTCGACAGTGCTGTGCTGGAAGTCGACCAGCAGCCTTGCTAGGTCCTGATGTGGTCTTGCATGCCAATGTTGTTGCTATAATTGTTGTCATGTTTTCCTAGTGAAACTCTTGCAAATTCTCCCCATAAACAAGCAAGCAGCGTGAACACAAGGGAACGACTAAGGAATGCAGGGATCACACAAGCACCCGTACCTAGCCCGTAGTCTAGCTCCCGTTGCCAAAGTTATCTCCGCATGGTGCGGTGAGCGTGGACGGCACACGACTTACCTTTCAGTCAGGTCGACGTAGTAGTCACTTACCTAATTTGTGTTCGTAGACCGGCAGCTGTGCGATAGTGACTATGGTAGTCGCCGTAGTTGACACGGGGGTGGTGGACACCCTGGAGGCACAGCTGGAGGACTCGAGGAGACGCCATGAGGCGCACGAGTACGGGGACATCCCCTGGGCGGCCGTCGAGGCTGGCATCCGCGCCGTGTGAGCGACGGAGCACCCTTCTCGGCCTGCTTCTCCTCGACCGGTGAACAACATGGGCGGCGTCGACGTGGGCGTCAACGCCGGGAGTGACCAAGTCGTCAGCAGTGCGGGAGGCACGTCGAGGCAGCGTGGTGTGATACACGCCGATGAAGTCGGCGGCGTTCAGGCATGAGCGATGCAGTCGTCGGCGGCTGCAGGCTCGTTGCAGGGCGACGTCGGAGGACGTCGAAGCGGATTGTCGCCGATGTCGGCGACCCACGTGACGGCGGGCAGGATTGCACCAAGCTACGGCTACTTCAAGTTCACCCCGGACAGGATCTTGGTCACCCCTCCGCTTGTTGGTCGACCGGACATTCTCACATGGAAGGAAGCCATCGAGCCCCAGCTGGAGATGGTCGAGCTGATTGGCTTCGCCTGCAGCACCGTGGCGACGCCGGAAGAGATCTACCCCGACTTGTGAGCAGAGTTTCGCGCCGTGCAGATCCTGAACTTCACGGTCATCTCGCGGTGCTGCTCGCCGGGCGTACAGATCGCCTTGAAGTTGTGCTGGGAGTACCTTAACGCCGGCCACCAGGCATGGCGCTTCACTAAGTCGACGTACCAAGTCACCGACGACTTGTTCATCGCCCAGCTTGAGGGGCAGATGACGCACCTGTGTATGGGCGACGAGGAGACGGCGACCGACTACTGCAACCGAGCTCGGCAAATTCTCGCCACCATAAGGATGGACGGCGCGCAGTACTCGACAGCGTGGTACGTCACGCACGTCATGCAGGGACACCTGAGCAGCTACAACATGCTAAAGCGGTTGTTGATGGCGCCGAGCACGCGGGCGATGCTCAACGAGGACACCTTGACCTCGTACATCCTGCAGGACGAGGCGATGCAGGAGGTTGAGCGGTCCCATGAGCTCTTGGCGCAGGTGAACTACATTGCCCCTGCAAAGCAAGGTGGTCGACCGGGGCCGCGTGGGCAGCCTAGCGGCGGTGGTAGCAGCGGGTGGAAGTTGACCAAGGATGCCGACAAGAAGAATTCGGCCAAGGACAGCAGTCGAGGAGGCGGAAGTCGACGTCGGGAGTGCTGGCTATGCGGCGACCCCGATCACCTCTCCTTCGAGTGCCTCGACCGCAGTGATTCCGACGACGACGACGCCAAGGGAGGCCGCGGGAGGTTTGGCAGCCGTTGTCCTCGTCGAGGAAGAAACCTGTCGGGCAAGGAGAAGCAGTCGAATAAGTCGACCTCGGCGAAGGACGCCGGCTCCTCTGCTGGCGGCAAGGGGCGAGATGACAAGGCGGCGTCGTGCTCGCTGGTCGGCGTCGTGGAGACGGCCGTCTTGCTGGCGCCAGAAGCCGGCGAGGACTTTCAGGCGGTGGCAGCAGCTGTGCATGCGAACCCGGCGGTGGTCCTGCTCGACAGCGGCTGCTCGCACCACCTGATGGGGACGAAGGAGGCCTTCGTCGACTTGGAGCCGAGCGGCGACGTGAAGCACGTGCGCGGCTTCAATGGGGCGCTGCACTATCGCTCTGCAAGGGGAGGCCGGGAAGCAGGTCCTCATCTCCGACGTGCTCTATATCCCGGGAGTGCGAGCGAACCTGCTTTCGGCCGGCCAGCTGAAGGAGAACGGCTTGAAGTTGCAAGAGGACGACGACGGGATGTTGCTTGTCTCGGCGGCGGGAGACGTCTTTGGTCGGGTGTCCTACACCGAGCGAGTCCTCTGCACCGACCTGCGTCCCTGCTCGACGAGGTCGACGTCGCCTACGACCGAGGTCGTGGCCCTGCGGGCGATCGTCTCGGCGACGAAGTCGACACCGGACAGGTTGCATGCAAGGCTTGCACACGTCGGCATGGATACCATCCGGAGCTCGGCAAAGCACGAGGTCGCCACTGGGCTGGACCTCAAGTCGGCGTTCGGCGCCGACTCACCGTGTGTTTCGTGCGTCGGCAGGAAGCGGGCGCGGCACACCTTCCCCGACCAGGGCTCCGACGCCGATGACGCGCTGGCCGATGTGCACATCGACTTGTGCGGGCCGTTTCGCGTGGCTGCCAAGGATGGCAGCCTGTACTTCTTGCTGCTGAAGGACCGCAAGACCCGCTATGTGTGGGTGAGGCCGGTCGCCAAGAAGTCGGACATGCTGCTGCAGTTCCAGAAGTGGCTGGTATTGGTGGAGCGGCAGGCGAAGAAGTCGGTGCTGATGCTACGCTCTGACCGAGGAGGAGAGTTCCTTGGAAGAGCGTTCACCAAATTCGTGGACGGAAAGGGGATCGTCCACGACCTTACCTGCCCGTACACCCCGCAACAGAACGGCATGGCGGAGCGAGAGATGAGGACGGTGGTGGAGTCCGTGCGGACGATGCTACTGCATATGGGCGTGCAGCACCACTGGTGGCACCTCGCTCTGCGGCAGGCCGTCTGGGTTCGCAACTGCCTCGAGCGGTCGACGCTGCCACCGGGGACGACACCGTACCAGCTGCTTACCAGGGGGAAGCCCGACTTGTCGCTGGCACGGGTGTGGGGCTGCATGGCGCAGTTCTTGGTCCCCGAGCAGCAGCGTGGTGGTAAGCTGAAGTCGAAGGCCAAATGGGGCCGTCATCTTGGCGTGTCAGAGGAGAGCAATGGCTGAGAGCTCCTCGACATCGCCGACAACCGGGTGGTCACCACGTTGGATGTGGTGTTATACGAAACCATGTCGCTGGAGGTGTGGAAGTCGGAGCACGGGTCGGCCTCAGGACGGACGCCGACCACCCCACCAACGGACACCTTGACGGCGACACTGCCTCTACTCACCGAGGTCGGTGAGCTAGCTGATGAGGACACCGAGGTCATCTGACCTCCTTCCCCTCCCCCTGCCCCTCCCCCGGCGTCGACCTCCGAAGATGAGGGGAGAAGTGGGACGTCGCCTTTGGCGCCGGTAGAGAGCATCACCGGTGGCCGACGTGATGAGCAGCAAGTCGACATGGGCGTGAAGTCGAAGTTGGTAGGGGAGGAGCAGGCCGAGGAGGTGCAGCCGACTTGGGTGAAGCCGGCGAAGAAGGCACCAGCAGGGCAGCATCCGACAGGGGAGCAGGCAGCAGCGACGCCGACCACAAAGTAGTCCGCGACCGGACAGTCGGCAGGGGAGCCGACCGCAGGGGACAAGCTGGCTAGGATGCCGACAATGGTGCAGCAGGACGCTAGGGGCAGCGACGACAGTGACGATGGCGGGGACGCCGAGGAGTCCACCGACAGCG